AGATGCACTGAAGTTTGAGTTGATGCATTTTTATCAACTCTTATTCAACTTATGTTGAGTTGGTGGCTTGTCAACTGAAAATGAAAAAATTCGAAAGTAAACCACTGATTGCACAAGCTGATACGAAAGGGTTCAATTTTTTAAGATGATACAGAGTGTAGTATGAGTTTCTATAGTCACAGTGGTGATAGGACTCAAAAAAACTCCAAGATACAGTTGAAACAGAGTCGAAGTTGCAGCTGAAGTTGGGACGGCACATGGCTGGAATATGAATTAGAGTGGGTTTCGTAAAGATAGAAGTGGAGTTCGAGTAGAATTTTGAAATATCCGAGTCGAGTGATATGGACTTGAAGCGGCATATACCTGGAATTGTCTAACTCTGGTATAAAACAGAGCATTAGTTCTGTATATTAATTGCTGTCGCCTAATGTTATAGTGTTGATCATAGCAGAACCTGAATTTTATATAAGTACAGCCGTAATGCATGATATATATTTGATTAGATAAAAAAAATATACAAAAAAGCAAAAATTTCTAAACTGGAAAAAATCAAAGTTTTTAACTAAATTTGAGACCGAGAGACTCCTTTTTTTCCAAAATTTATCCATTTATTCTTTTTATGAGCCATTTTCTTTAACTAGTTTTCAACCATTAACTGAAATCGATAAACAAGTTATGCTCAAGTTATTCGAATTATGTATCAATCGATATTGTAAAGTATGTAAAAAGATTTCTCTATATTATTTATTTATTGCTAGATATGCTTTGTAATCTAAGGTTCGACGCGATGCTCAAGGCTATTTATTTTCTGTTCTTAATCGTTATTTATTATCCTATCGAGTTATTATTGATCGCATTATTGAATTACTTAATAGTTCAGATGAAGCTGATCATGATCAAATAAAAGAATGTCTTTACACTCTTCTTGGTAATCATTCATGGTCGATGATTGAAAAATCTGACCAGATATGGCAAGAACAACACAACGTTTAATGGATCATATTAATGAAGCTACTTCATTGATGGATTAAGCAGTAATAAGAAACTGAAAGTTTAAAGAAAAAGGAACATAACGTATTCGAGAATAAAATTGTCAACGAATGACACATTTTCTATTGAAAATAACAACTATTAACAGCTACTTTTTCATAATGATAACTCAATTTCGAAAATCTCAATGG